CCTCCAAACCGTACGTGATAGTTTCCCATCATACGGCTTTCCATGATTTACTGATATCTTTGAACGATAATGTTGATTTATCGTGAATGATGTACTTTATGGAGATGGTGGATAATATTGAACGATATGCTGATTTATCGTGGATGATGGTGTATACTTTGTGGATTGGTAATGCTGATAATTTGTGACCTACATGTGGATGATAGACGATGATATTGAACGATGATGCGATTTACCGTGGATGATGGTGTGCACTTTGTGGATAATAATGTTGATATATTGATAGAGTGTAATTTGTGGATGGTAGTGGACAATACTGGTTGATGTGGAATGATGTTGGATGATAGTACATAATTTGTAAAAGATAGTGTGGAAATTACCAGCAGACGGTGGGTAAAACTGAATGATAAATGATTCAGGACGATGGAGTGGATAATACTGGGTGATAGTGGATGATGGATGACAGTGGATGATCCGAATGATGGTGTAAGGTCCCTTGCACCCGCTTGCTGATGGTTCCTGTAAGCGCTTATGACTACATGCCTCTATTATTGGGAGTTTCGTCAGAGGCATTTTGAAAAGCTCATGGAACATTCTTTCGGGTTTCAGGGTTCCCTAGTTAAAGTGTGTAGCGGGGAAGAACTCCAGCGGAGCTCTGGAGAAAGTAGCGAGCAAGAAGTAATGCACCCATGTCCCGGGAAGCCCCTAGCAGAAACTCCCAAAGTTTCCCAAAGACATGAAGCCATTTAGTCTACCCGAGACTTCAGAATAAAGATTCTCACTGAACACGACGAAAAAACGTTGATCACACAAAGAAGGATAGAGAGCAGTCACGAAGAATGGCGTAAGCACATCGCCTCGAATGGGTGCTCTGGTCGAAAGAAGTCAAAACTTGTCCGATTTGCGTGTTCACAAGAGCAATGAAAGATAGGAGCAAGTAAAAACAAACAAAGCATATAGTGTTTTTGTATGTCTTCCCTCAGCCGGGAGGTCTGCTCCAGTACGGGAAAGATTCCTATAAAAGTGTATAAGGGTAGAAGAAACTTGAAAAAATAAACTAACTATAATACATGTTAACGTAGAATTAAAAAAACCCAAAAAGGAGTAGCATGTAGGTATACTTCTTAATAAGAACAAACAAGCTAGAATTAAATGTTAAAGTGGGTAATTTCAATTGATATATATAAATCAATCTTATTTCTATCTTCGGTTGGGGGATATATTACTCCGTGATGTATAATTTGAATCATATATATATAATATCCGGTCATAAATACTCTTAGTATGCTATATTATAAGTATGTCCTATTTATATAACTTAGATTAATAAGGGATCCTTACTTAAGAATTACTCTTAAATATATATTACCCTTATATAACATTTAGTAAATATATGTAAAAATTTAGTTAAGTTAAAATATTATAATGTAATTAAAAAGGGTAGATGAATACGGTAATTTTGACATGATATGATATGATAATAGTTATATATACCTCTAAGAACTATATTATATTATATTATGTCATGTTAAATATAATCTGATAAATAAGCATATAATATAAACATATAATATAAGTTATATTCTAAATATATAGGTGTACCTAGTAGGGTATGGGGGTAATATATATTTGAAACTTAGTTAAAGTTAATCTATAATATTACACATTGTGAGTATCACATTCAAATATAGTGATACATTCAATATAGTGATACATTTAATATAGTGATACATTTAATATAGTGATACATTTAATATAGTGATACATTTAATATAGTGATACATTTAATATAGTGATACATTTAATATAGTGGTACATTTAAATATAGGGATACATTCATTTATAGTGATACATTTAAATATTGTAACATAGTCTTATATTTATAGAAAAAACACACGGCTTCTAATTATCATATGTTTATAAGCAGAAAAAATAGATTATAACCAAAATATAAGTTAAAGAGCCAGAGCGTCACGTGACAAATTCATATCCAACTTGATGTACTCAAAACACAAAGATACTGGGAAATCGAAGACAGACAAACTTGAGATTCTTGATAGTATGTTAAATGACAAGGAGTCTTTCAGGAATGGCGAACGGAATAATTTGCCTTCAGGAGAGTCAGAATTCAAGCTTCTCGTGGAGAAGGGTGCAAAGGAGTACACAAATGTGCTTCGCGTCCAAGAAAATCATATGAACTATATTGCCGAGAAGGCAAAGGCTGAAAAGCCCAATTTTGAGACTGTGGAGATGATAAACGGCACGAAAGCGTCCAAACCTCACCCAGATGTCACCATCGATGCGGACTCCACTCTAGTGCAAGTCGCTCGATTTCATGTATCAAAAATGGTATGTCCTTGTCGTAGTAGACAGGAATTAATAACAATGATTGGTATTGCTCATTCTTCGAATCATGAATAGGTGGTCCATTTCCTTCAAGTAAAGTGATACATTTAAATATAGTGGTACATTTAAATATGGTGATATATTCAAGTATAGTGATACATTTAAATATAGTAGTACATTTAATTAAAGTGGTACATTTATTATAGTGAGACATTTAATATAGTGATACATTTAATATAGTGATACATTTAATATAGTGGTAGATTTAATATAGTGGTAGATTTAATATAGGAATACATTTAATATAGTGATACATTTAAATATAGTGATACATTTAATATAGTGATACATTTAATATAGTGATACATTTAATATAGTGATACATTTAATATAGTGATATATTCAAGTATAGTGATACATTTAATATAGTGATACATTTAATATAGTGGTAGATTTAATATAGGAATACATTTAATATAGTGATACATTTAAATATAGTGATACATTTAATATAGTGATACATTTAATATAGTGATACATTTAATATAGTGGTAGATTTAATATAGTGGTAGATTTAATATAGGAATACATTTAATATAGTGATACATTTAAATATAGTAGTACATTTAATTAAAGTGGTACATTTAATATAGTGAGACATTTAATATAGTGATACATTTAATATAGTGATACATTTAATATAGTGAGACATTTAAAAATTGTAGCATAGTCTTTAATCTATAGATCAATCACACGGCTTCTAATTATCATATGTTTATAAGCTGAAAAATAGAGTCTAAACAAAATATAAGTCAAAGAGCCAGCGCGCCACGAGAACGAACAATACTGAACAAGACAGCATAGGTCCTGGACCGACCCCCCGAAAGAAAACCGACCCGAAAGAACAAAAAGAAAAATACACCACCCGAGACCACCGCGCCCGTCCCCAACCAACCAAAAAATCAAACCCGAAATCAAAAGCGAAACTCTCTCTCTATTAATTCCAAGGGAAATAAGACAGGGCCCGTCTGGGGAAGCCGGCCTGGAGGCGCGCGCGCGCCTTGGCCCTAGTCGCACATACGTACTACTTTTCTTTTGCCGCCGCCCCACTCTGCCCACGCCGCCCTCTCCGCCATGCCCTCGCAGCAGCTCGTTTTGGACAACGGCGCGTACCAGATCAAGGCCGGGTTTGCGGACCACGGCCTGCCGCTCGCCGTGGACAACACGCTCGCCAAGGCGCGCGACGGCATCGTCTACATCGGCAACGAGTACCGGGCACACGCCAACTTGCACCTGGGCATCAGCTTCAAGCGGCCGCACGACCAGGGCCACTTGACGCTGTGGGAGACACAGAAACCCGTGTGGGACTACACGTTGGACCGGCTCCTGCCGCGCCGCGCGCTCGACCCGCTGGACGTGCGGCTCGTGTTGACGGAGCCGCCGTTCCAGCTCCCGCAGCTCTCCATGAACACCGACCTCGTGGTGTTCGAGGAGTACGGCTTTGCGGAGTACTACCGCTGCGCCGCGGCGCAGCTCGTGCCGTGGGCCGTGCCGCGCGCGCCGCCGGACTACGCGTTGGTGGTGGACTGCGGCCACGGCGCCACGCACGTGGTGCCCGTGTTGGGCCAGCGCGTGATGTGGGCGGGCGTGCGCAAGCTCCCGTTCGGCGGGCGCCACGTGACCGGGCTCCTCCGCGAGACGGTGGCGTTCCGCCACTACGACGTGGCGGCCGAGCCGGTGCTCCTCAACACCATCAAGGAGCAGACGCTGTACGTGGCGGCGGACTTTGGGCAGGCGCTCCGCGCGCGGCTGCGCGCCGCGTGCGAGTTTGTGCTCCCGGACTTCAAGACCACGGCCACGGGCCACGTGCGCGAGCCCGGGCGCCCGCTTGCGCCGGGCGCGCAGACCATCGTGCTCCGCGACGAGCGCTTCACGGGCCCGGAGGCGTACTTCCGCCCGGAGATCTTGTTGGACAACTGCGCGTGGTCGCGCAGCGCGGTGCTCCAGAACGCGGGCTTCCGGAACCTCCCGGCGTTGGTGGTGGACGCCATCATGGCGTGCCCGGCGCCCGTGCGCCCGATGCTCCTGGCCAACATCCACGTGGTGGGCGGCGCCGCCAACTTGCGCAACTTCCGCGCGCGGCTCGCGGCGGACTTGCGCCTGGAGCTCCCGGCGGCCTGGGGCGTGCGCGTGGTGGACCAGGCCCATGCCTTGGACCACGCGGCCTGGCACGGCGGCTGCGCCTTGGCGCATTCGGACGTCTTGGACGCCGTCAAGATCACCAAGCAGGAGTTCTACGAGCACGGCGCCAGCTGGTGCCAGAAGCAGTTTGGCTTCCGCAACTTCGCCGACTCCTAGGAGATGGACAGGTCGTGGAAGGGACATGGACAGGTCGTGGAAGGGACATGGACGAAACTTGGACAGGTTATGGAAGAGACATGGAAGAGACATGGTAGGGAGATGGACAGGACTTGGAAGGGACTTGGAAGACGGGACTTGGAAGACGGGACTTGGAAGACGGCTACATGAATGACGGGACATGGCATGAAATACGAGACATGAATGACGGATACATGAAAGACGAGACTTGGAAGACGGGACTTGGCATGAAATACGAGACATGAATGACGGATACATGAAAGACGAGACTTGGAAGACGGGACTTGGCATGAAATACGAGACATGAATGACGGATACATGAAAGACGGATAAATGAAAGACGGGGACTCCGGGCTCGGAGCATCCAGTTACCCCTTAGACCCTTTGGGCCCCGCCGGTTCCGACATCTGAGCCGGCCCGGGGGGTCTGCTGGCGGCCGGACTCTGTCGTCGAGTACACACGCCCGGCCCGTCCAGAGCGTGTATAGCTCGGCCATCCCAGGCCCCGGCCATCACGCGACCGCCCCGGCACTGGCTGTGTCTCTACCTGACGCCTGGCCAAGGTGGTCCATCGACCAACAGACCAATCCAACACACCGCAAAATCCACCGCGACAAACACCCGCGTGACAAATCCCCAGGATGCGCCCGCACAAGCCGCCGCCCGCTGTAAACTACCCGCAGCTCGCTCGGCGGCCCCTGCAACGCCCCCTAGTGGAGCTGGATCAAGTGGTTGAACGTCAAGTACCGGCTGAACATCAACCAGCCGTACCGGAACCACACCATCTGCGAATAGTGGCCGTATGCCATGGCCGCGTACGACAAGCTCAACATGTTCAAGTCCGAATAGAATTTGATCGAAGACAAGCTGCGCCCGCTGTATGCGCTGAAGAAACTCACGTTGATGTTGATCTTCAACGTGTTGAGAAAGAACTTCAGCACCAAGTCCACGAGCAACTCCACGTTGGTCAACGCTGTGAACGAGTACTTCTCCCAGAAGTTGAGGCTCTTCAACACATAGAGCCTCGCCGCCGCATGCGGCTCCACGTGGGTCTGGAAGTACTCCTTGCACCCGTGGTACAACGAAATGTGGTTCGGGTGGCTGGAGACGCCCTGCTCGTCAAAGGTGATCACCACCGTCGTTTCGGCGGCCCTCCCGATCTGCTGCCGCAAGGTCTCGGCCACATCCGCCGCCTTCCACTGGACGTCCATGCCGTCCTGGAACTCGTCCAAAACAACCACGTCGTGCGGCTCCACCCCGATTATCCGGGCAGAGCTCCGGAGCTCCTGTGCCCGGATGCCGCCGAAGGACACGTCCACGGCGTCACCCCGAGAAAAACAGAGGAGCTTGATTCGGTTGTGGTGCTTCGGCTTGGCCAATTCCACCAACGACGGCGAAAAGAACATCACCTCGTCGTCCGGGTGGCCAATCACAAACACCACCGTGGAGTTCCGGATCGGCGGCGGCGCGGGCGTTGTAAGCGAATTGTACGGATACGCTGTTTGTGTGAAGTGGAGGTCTCGTATCTGGGGCTCGAGGAATTTCAGCAGGAGCTGCGGAATCGCCGTGGAAAGAATGATCCACAACGCAAAGGACCCTAGGAAGAGCCTGACGAGAAACTTCGGGACAAGAAACAACATTCGTCTGTCTTTGCGCAAACTTTTGGTAGTTCTGGGCTAAGGTATTGGGTATCTGACCGTGGATGGAGCCTCAATTGGTATAGCGGAGATAATTCTGGGCGAGCCCGGGTTGGCCGACTGGGATATGAAAGAGTATTATGACAGTCTCAAGAAAACAGGTTCGCCGAAAAAAAAAATTAACAAGTTTTCATTCGAGGGTGCTCAAATCATACGTGACAATTGGCGGTTTCAATCGCGTTATAACCCAACCGGGCCCAGGCATCGGCTGCGGAGCCACGTTGCCAGGCATGATGGAGCACACGTTGTGTTGGCCCGCTTTCTGCAGGACACTAGTGATTTTGAGGCAGTGCATGCAAATGCTCCAAGGGTTGGGCATTTTGGCAGACGCTCGAAGGACTCGAGGTCAGTATGATGGTCCGGCCCGGCACCAGGCTGAAACCCGCTTGAAACACAGATCCATCACCGGTGAAACATCCACGTGTCAGATTGCCGATCCCCCACGTCATCTTCCCCTCTCGTGTCCTGTCACGTGCCGTCGCCAACTTTGCCCAAGCGCGCGGCACTACGTACATGTCGTGTTCCCCAACACTTGAGATGTTTGGGCCGGCCGCTTCGCACTTCCGGTTTAGGCACCACTGGCTAATTTTGCACCCTCGCGTTTCACACGTCATACTAACATAAAATCCATCATTCTTGAAAATCACTTCAGGTGAGTTCATGTTTTGATCATTCAAAAGAGACAAATAGAGCTTTCCGCACCTGCTTAGGTGAGCCTAGTATTCGAAATCACCACATCGGCTGCTGGGTTTTGTTTGTCGATCGACATGTTATAGTCAGTTGTGAAATGTCTAGCCGTGTCTGCAATAGTTCAGCTTTTTCGCTCAGGGTGCCCGAAAAGTGTTCATGCAAGCTTTTTTCATCTCATGTATTTCATAATAAGACAAACATTTATCTGATTGAATCTGAGGTCTGGGTAGAAAAGCTCAAATTCTTTGCGAAGCTCATAGCCATTTTCGCTGTTTAATCCTGTCAAACTGTTCCTTGACTTGCTTTTAATATTCATTAATCGTAGAGCTAACTAAACACAGTGATCACGGAGACATTGCCGATATCAAAGGGTACGACAGCTAGGCCCAAAAGAAACCACCGCAGATATGTCCAATAAAGCGCCAACTTTAAAAACAAAATCAACCAGCATTATCGTGCAAAAGACAAAACCCACGAATTCCTATAATCGAAAGACAGTCCTTATGGAGTTTTCTGCGCACGTATAGCTTGAGTTCGGACACTTGTCCGATTTACGCCAAGAGATTCAGTATGTATCAAGGACGTCAGAGCTTGCTTTGTATCCTCATCTCCATTTCTTTTCTGGAAACTGTTGTCTCTACGATTCCTTCAAACTGACTTCTCAAGCCCAAACTTTCACGCCGTGTCCAATTAGACATTGGTCATATCAAACTCGCGTTTGAACTGTGTTTCAGCTTGCGAGCCATCTTCGAAAAAGAACTCATTTGGCTCGTTCAAAAACGGCACAAGTCCTAGCGAACCATCCGTGACAAACTCACTGGACATGACATCACTACCAAAGTTCTTTATAAGATCGTCAAACTTGAAGAACTCGCCATTATCGTCCATATTGTCGGAATTGAAGGCAGTTTCTGCTTGGTTTCCGAAAGCCTGGCTCGAGTGCCCTGATGGAGGGGTTTGAAATGTGAAGACATTGTTGTCGGGGCTGCTATTCGTGCTATCGATGCTCAGGGAATATTCCTGGTAGCTTTCTAACAGCTGATTGTTGGAAAGTTGCGGAATTGCTGATGGGTTCGGCACGGGGGAGCCTTGGGCAACACTTTGCGAAGCAGTACCGTTTGTGCCTCTGGAACCAAGACCAATCATCGGCACGTCGTATGCCTCACTAGTTTCAAATAAAGGTTCATGAGCATCCCCTTTCGCATAAGGGGCTGGATTTCTCGAAGACCCAAATTTGGAGTTGGACTCATTTGTGATGATGCGTTTTCTCAAACTGCTTGCACCCGAAGCTCTTCCGAGATTCAATCCCAAAATACTCAAAATAGCATACTCAAGCAAACTAGCAGATCGCTTTGTCAACGAGCTTGGAATTTCCAATTTCGTCTCTGTTTTGAGGATTGGCATGGTGTCTAGAAGCAATTGCTTCAGTTGCTGATGTAGTGGCCCGCCCTTTATATAATCCAAAGAACCCTTTGCAACTAAAATCGCAAAGCGTGCATGTTCTCTGGGCACATTGATCGGCACGGGCAATAAATATGGTGACGAAGTCGCAAACTTCTTCAATAAGTGCAAAATCTGGACCGCTGCTTGCTGGATTATCGACATACTGGAAACATTGGTCGAAATATCGCTTTGGCCAATGGCTAGCTTCTCCTTCATTGATAAACCGACATTGTGATGATATCCGTACTTGGAAATTATAGGCAAGTAGATCAAGATCTTGCCATGGTAGTAGAGGAAAATCAAGAGATGCCTTTGCTTTTCGTAGACCACTGGGTCGATCCCTGTGTTTTGCACAGTACCATTTTCAGCTGGATGTGTAAACAGAAACCCATTCACATCAGTGTCAAAACGAAGATCTGCCGGCAAGTCGCGCCTCCAACAATCTAACATTTGATCTTTTTCTAGTGCTTTCTCTCGCACGTCGTAATTACCGGACCGAGAAAAAATGGTATCCATGATATTTCCCAAGACTTTACAAAACTGCATCAAGCACAAAGAGGTCCGGGTCACTTTGCCAAAGATGGTCAATTTCGTGTTGTTGACAATCAAGATGTTTTCGTTGTTTTTTTCATCATCGTCGTCGTCGCTTTTTCCGCTGAACGGTGTTGCACACTCAATCTCGTAATCCTTCAAAAGCCGTGGCACTCCAAGATTCAAAGACGAATACACGTCAAGCACGTAAACGCACCAAAAAACAATACGCCGTTCTCCTTGCATGAATGCCTTCAAATGACGATCGTTCATTTCCCTGCTAAGGCCAAGTACGGCAGCAGGGCATCTGTGCAATCTCAACTGCTGCGCCATTGTAATGACTCGACCGCGAAGCTCATAGCACGTCATGTAATCCCCTGTAGCCAAGCAATATTGTAGGGCCAACGCAAGGATTTGGAGCGACTGAAGAGAACACACTTTTGTGAGGATGCAATTTGGCTTGATGAACTCGTGAATTAGTACATCAAAATGGGCAAGGGTTGTAGAGTACTCTGCTGGGTTGCCGTCGCCTTCGGTGTTCATGTACATAAACTTCTTCAGGAGCAAAGCAAGCGAGACCACCAAAACTACTAAAGCGCCGAGTTTCTCTGTCAGCTCGTAGCAGTACTCAGGTAATTTTTCCGAGTACCCGTTGCAGAGGATTTCCGAGAACCTCAAGTAATTCTTTAAAAACGCATTTTTGTTGATGATTGGCATCACGCTTCCCCAATCTTCAAAATACACTTTTAGCAAGTGATCAAGCTCGCTCTTTGGGGGGAGACTAAGCTGCTGGAGAAATCGCACGGCATCAGGGTTCTCCAAGCGCGACAAATTGCTGTTGATTATGAGCGATAAGAGCTCTGGATGCCCCTTGTTCTTGCCAGCAAGAATCTGATTGGTACTGAGTGTGTCCTTTAATGACGCAATAGCACTAGCTGTGAGTTTTGACGGAGTGGATGAGTAGCCGTAAGCCTCACAAACACGCGCCAAAAGCGTTGGGATGAAAAGTGTTTCTTCCGTGCTCCTAGGGACCGAAACAGCAACCAAACTTGTGAGCATTTGCTCCTTAGACTCCGTTTGTACTTTGTGATCACCCGCGTTGCGGTTGTTCTCCATTTGCTCGATTGCTGTGGCAGCTGCAAATGCCCCAGGCGCAGGGCGGATTTGCCTGTTGTAATATTCAGTGGACCCGTTTCTTCCTCTATGGCCCGGTGAAAAATCCAAATCTTCCCCTTGGAAATGCGAGTCTGCTCTGCTGATATTACTATGCAAGTCGAAGTTTTCGTCGAACTCCTCATCGAAATCGCTGTACACCGACCCTTGGGCCGACAGGGCATCATTTTCTCCGTTGTAGACAGATCCAGCCACAGACACTGGTCTTTCATGCACTGCGGGAGATCCCAAGCAACACGCGCAGCCTTCGCCGTGCGTATGGGTATGAAGCACCAGATGCGGGTTCAGAAAGTCGCCCGATGTGGCTACTGCCTTGGTAGAGTTTTCTCTGGTGGCAGGAAACTGAGGCTGAGCCATAGGAAGCCCCTCCTTCAGTTGAGCAGCATATGAGGCTAGCTGCTCGTCTCTCATTGTTAATACCCCTTTTAACCTGGCGTTTTCCACAATGAGCTGTCGTGACTGCTCCTCCAAAAGCTCGGTATACCCCTTCGGATACGACTTGCGAGTCAACCGATCGGAAACAACACACTCCATTCCTGCAGCTGCACACGAAGAGCAGGCGGGTTGCTTCCCATCGCATCTGGATTTTTTTGCTCGACATCTATCGCAAGCTTGTGCCGTTCTCTTATTTGTCAGTCCAAGTGCTTTTATAGTCTTGCGAGAAGCCGGTTGGAAACCACGGTTCTTCCCCTCTTCACTTCGCACAGAATCGTTCTTAGCGGTCTTTTGTACTTGAAGATCTTGCTGCTCGGTCTTTATGTCAGCGTTCTGCTCTAGCTTCGGTTCGCTCATTTGAAATCGAGTTGGGCTCCGGCCAGAAAGTAGGATGCAAAAGTCGAAGCTGGCTATACAAATTCACCTTCTGCTTGGTGATGACTGAGGTGGAAGAAGGAAGGTCTGATGGTGAACAATGAAAGCTTGCGCTGTTCTTTGCAGTAGACAGCGTCTCGAGACAATACCAATGTCGTGTTTTCTCCGGTTGGTGATTGGTGGGGGTTGTGCGTCATAAATTGAAGACTCTGGGGCGGATGTTATATGCACACCATCTGTTTTCCGACCTGTTCCCCCAATAGACGTGTTTTTTTTTTCGAAGGCCACACAATCATGACATTTTGCTGGATGCTTTCACTTTGGAAAGCTCGATTTAGGCAATCAAGCTCACCAATTATTCTTGGCGAAAGCAAAACCAGATAGTTTATGCCGCGCATCAACCTGCAATGATCGCCTT